TTCGTGTAGTCGTCGGTGATCTTGCACGCGTACGGGAAGGAGCCTCCTTTATATTTCGCAGGTGGATTAACAGGCCCCATGTTGTCGATGACCACAAGCTGTCCAGGCCGTGATAGTTCGCGAGTCGATTGCTTCGGGTGGGGGGACTGCTTGTGTTTCGCGATCTGGCAGACTCCGCAAGCGAAGAGACTGTCGCGATAGTCCACCCCGGTACCCGTGTCCTTCCGAAGGATGTCCAGGCTCCGAGCATTGAGATGTCCAAGCCTCCTGTGCCAGGTGTCCGCGCTCACTAGCGTAAAGCAGACGGCGTTCGCCGTGTGGGTCTGTGACTGCTTCTGGTGGGGCACGAGGGATTTCGTGCCAGATGGCTGGACGTTCCGCTCGAACGTGATGTCGAGGGTGCACATGCCTTGGTCTCGCGGATCTTGTGTGAGTGGAATCACCTTGCCTTGGATAGTGAAGTGCGGAGTGCTCTCTTCGACTACGCAGCGCAATCCCTTTTTCAGGAGGGAGGTGGGCGAAAAAATGTTGCGACCAAGTCCCGGAACGATGAGTCCCTGAATCCGCACGCGCAATTGCTGTCCTCGATTGTCCTTGACGGTGCAGTGTAGGATGCCCGTGGCCGTGCCTTTGAGTTGTCTTTCTCCGGCCACGTCCACGATCTTTGGAGAGTTTCGCTGGGTGTAATCGTGGAGGTTTCCGTCGGGGATGAGGCGATTGTCAAACATGGTCTCCGATGCTCCCGTGTCTACCAGCAGGCCTACTCCGGTGGAACTCGCGGCGAAGTTGCGTCCTGAGATGCGGGAACACGTGCCGAACATGAAGCCGCTGTCAAAGGCGTCCTCGTCCCGGGTGAAGTCGACAACTGCCACTTCATTGTTTGAGTCGTGCTTGTTGGACGCCGACGAGCAGTGAGTGCAGTTGGAGCACGCGGTGAATGCTTTACTTGAGTCCTTGGTGTCTTCCGGGCGCTTTCCTCCTTGCTGGTAGCATTCCTCGTCCGAGTGAGACGTGGTGTTGTGCTTGGAGCACCACTTGGTAGCTCCGGCGGGCTTCGTTTTCTTCTTCGCCCTGTTCTTGATCTTGGGGCAGTTCCTCCTGATGTGCCCCGGCTCGTAGCAGCTGTGGCAGATGATGTCAGACGCGGTCGTTGCCATGGCAAATCCTCGACCAGCTATGCGTCCCTTCCATCCCTTGCGCGATTGTTCGTCCAAGAAGATGTTGCGCATGGTGGATTGCATGTCCAGGACGTTGAAGGTTGGGTCTCTGAACACCATCAGTTTGACGTCCTTGTATTCGTCGGAGAAGCCCTGTACGCAGATGTCCTTGAAGCGGCGGTCGGAGATGGGTTCTCCCATCTTATCCAGCTGGGTGCGAAGTAGGTGCTTCTGGTTGAAGTAGTCGTCGGGATTTTCACCAGGGTTCATGGGGTTGTTCTCCAGCTCCTCCATCTTCGCCCTGATGACCTCGTCCGTTACCCTGTCATAGTTGTTGCAGAGCTCCTCGAAGGCAGCTTGTCCGTCGCCGCTGACGCCAGTGTCGTCTTCGTGCTTCTGTATCGACAAGGCGGCTGGAAGCTCCACTAGGAGGAAAAGAATGGCGTAGAGATCTTCGTTTGCTCTTGTGTAGGAGTCGAAGGCCGCTGTGTCTGCGGGATCTGGCTTCCTTTGTTTCTTCAGCAGTGGCAGGATGTCCTTCCTGGTCACATCTAACACCACGCATAATTTCTTCATCCATGTCTTGAACTCAGCTGGGTCCTTTCCGTCGAATTTCCTGAGGCCTTTGATCACGGTTGCCAGGATCGTAGACTATCGCTGGCGAACGCGCTTCCACCTCCTGTGTTGCTCGTTGCGGTATCCATTGCTCCTTCCAGCTTTATTTTCTTCGTCTTGATAAAAGTACTTCCTGCTGTAGGTGTAAGTTTGCTCGTGGTACTACTGCCTGTCCTCGAGACTTCCCCACCCCGTTCCTGCTACTGATATAGAGGACTCCGGTTGTGGTTTTCTTGTTTCCGATCCCGCTCCTGCTACTGATATAGGGGACTCCGGTTGTTGATCGCCTCCACTGATGATACAGTGTAGTTCCTTGTACACCCGATGCGTATGCCGCTCGAGACTCCCACAGAGATACCCACTACTGCCGAAGGGGTGGTAACGTGTGTATACGACGTGAACCCTCAGCACCTTGGTGTAGATGACCAAGTTTGCGCGTTTGATTGTGTTGCCGTTGACCGATGACGGCGTCGCAATCTCCAGAAATATCCGAAACCAGGTTCTCTCGTTGTCCACGGATGAAGGTTGATGTCCCGAGAAGAGGTTGCCTTGATCTTCCCGTGATGTTCGCAGCTCGTAGTGTGTGCGTTAGCCGAGGCTCATAACCTGTCAGCGATATTTCGCTGTGCACTAGCAGCAGTACGATGCTGCAGATGCCAGGAGGCTGTGTAGCCTACCTCAGAGGTTCACACTCTGTGCGTCTCCAACCGCGAGAGACTTGGAATGGAAATATGAAGATGCTTTGAATAGTTGCTGACTCCCGAGTCAGATGTTGCTGGTGCTGAAGAGGAGTGAGAGGAGTGGGCGAGCTTGGGGCTGCACCACTCTTCTTCTCGAATACCGGACAAATAAGCCTATCACACGAAAGATTCAGAATGCTTCCAGAATGATTTCTGGAAGCCCTCCTACGTTCTAGAAGAGTATCAACTACAACCTAGATCTAGAACGCTTCCAGAAGCTTACAGAAGGAACCAGAAGTTTCCAGAAAGGCTTTCAGAAGCTACAGAAGGAACCAGAAGTTTTCAGAAGGCTTCCAGAAGCTACACACGTTCTACGTAGATGTCCCGGTCAACCTTGACCTAGCATGCTTCCGGAAACAAGATAAAACATGCCAAGGAGAGTTGGATTCTTTTCTACTGCTACGCAGACTAGTTGCTGCAATCGTATTCAAAGGTCAAACCGTGTCCGACTACTGGTGGTCTCGACACACGATTTTCCTGACAACTAAACGCAGATCAGGCAAAAGGTTGGGCAGATTCTTGTTCACCTGGGAGGACGGAAGGACGTTGCGTCCGTAGGGGGTAAATATTACCCCATAATAGTGAACGATGATTTCACAAGACGTGCATGGATGTATTTTCTGAGATGTAAATCAGACGCTGCGAGTTCTTTCCGGAGTTTCCTTGCAAGTGAACGTGCTGATATTATCCCATCATTGGTTCAGATTGTTAGATCTGACAATGGGGGAGGGGGGGGGGGGGG